GTCCCGGTGGCCTCTGCGCCCTGCCAGAGGTGGTGGCGGATCTCCTGGTAGAGCCAGGCCAGGTCCCGCCCGGCCAGCTGCAGCTCCCGGAGATGCTCCAGGACCTGGTGGTCAGCCCTGGCCACAAACTGCTCGCCCAGCTCCTGGAGGTAGCGGGCATGAGCCTTGTTCTTGGGGTTCACCAGGTCGCGGCTCCACGGCAGGCGGTGGGTCTTGAGGACCCCGGGGTGTGCGTCGGCGACGCGCCCCTTGAGGTCCCTCAGAAGGTTCTGGGCGTCGGTGTCCAGGCAGCCGTCCGCGAGCCGGTCCACCATCTTGAGGGCGCAGTCCTCCAGGATGTGCTTGCTGAGGTCCTGGATCTCTCGAAGGAAGACAGTGGCGCCCCGCTCCCCGGCCGCTGAGCCCAGCAGGCCCCGCTCCATCTCCCACTCGATGACTGCAAAGCAGAGGGGTAGAAAGGCTGGTCAGCACGGTCACCCGCTGGCCCACAGGGGGGTCCCTGGGTCCCGGGTTCAAGTTCAGCATGTGGCGGAGCTACCTGGGCATCTTCCCAAAACCCACAGGGCTGGACCCGCCTCCAGAAGTTGGCCTGTGGGTCCACACGTCCAACAAGCCTGCAGGTAACCGGCAGTCCAGGACCAGCACGGATTTAGCCACCATTATTAATCAACGGACCTCTGCAACAGGCAGCGCGTGTGGAAAAGCAGCCCGTCATCAAACAATGCAAAAGTCAGCCCCGAGTCCCCACAGCACCCAGCTATCCAGCAGTTCCACTCCTAGGACTCTGCCCCCAAAGAACTGAAAACAGATATTCAACAAACACTCGCCCACCCTCAATCACAGCAGCCCAAAGGGGAAGACAGTCTAAACGTACAGCAGTGGATAAAGTGATGTGGTTCAGCCACACGGTGGAATATTGTGCAGCCATGAAAAGGGGTGAGGCACTGACACCTGCTGCAAGGCAAAGGAGCCCTAGAAAAGCGACGCCAGACGCAGAGGCCACAGGGTATGTGGTCCCTCTGAGTCCAGGGTCCAGACCTGGCAGACCTATAGAGCTGGAAAGAGGATCAGTGGCTGCCAAGCACAGGGAGAGGGCAGTGGGGAGCGACTGCTAGAGGGGATGGGGTCTCCTTTCAGGGGGATGAAAA